TTTCTTTCTTTCTTTCTTTCTTTCTTTCTTTCTTTCTTTCTTTCTTTCTTTCTTTCTTTCTTTCTTTCTTTCTTTCTTTCTTTCTTTCTTTCTTTTTCTTTTTAATGTGAAATCTGATGGGTTAAGCTGGGAATTGCTTTGTTGTTTTGATGAACTGTCTTCATCCATCCTTAATGGAGCAGAGTTGTAAGGCCCTTCTGGTTCAAACCACCAGGTGATTTGGTTCTGGCAGGAAACGTGGACCCCACGTGTCTGCATCCTCTGCATTTTCTGCATTTCTCTGGCTGTCCCTTCTCTGAAACTTGCTCTGGGCTTTGGGCTGGAGCAATGACGAACTCAGCTTCTCTCTGTATTGGGCAGACTGGTCTGAGGTGGAGTCAAATGGCTCGTCCACCAGCACATGGGCACACATGCTGGAGGCCAGGCAGTGTGCACCAGGCAAATGCATCACCCAAACCAGTATACACATCACCCAAGCTAAGATAGCCTGCTGCTTAGCATGGCCTTTTCACTGTGGTAAAGTGCTCTGCTCATTCCCTTCGACTGCTTCCCTTTCCCAGCAAGGACAGGAGTCTTGCCTGGCACCACGTTGTCATGGAGATSCTCCCATCGGAGTCTCTTGGTGTTGCAACACAGAGGAGGAGGAAAGAAGGAGGGCAGAAATGGGATAGAAGAGCGGCCACCCCSTTGGGGGGCTGCTTGCTGGAATCCCCTGAGGTCCTTACAGAAGGAAATAAGACGGTGGTCATCTCCTCTTTGAGTGCYGTTCCCTGCTGCAAGGGCAATCGTGTTTCGGTGTTGGCTTGAGCGCCTATGAAAATGTTTCTTTTGGGTCAAAATGTTTTCTACTAATCTTCCAAACTGACTCTGATTAAGTCAGCATGAAATTTAAAACAAACATCAAATGGTTTGTCTGTTCAGTGACAGATGAAACAAGAAAAAGAATAATAATTTAATGCAATTGCATTTGCAGTTTCTGAAAGTAGTACTGACATGCCCCAGAATTATCTTGTGTTTTTATTAATGTCTTCATTGTCATACAAGCATTGTCTTCTGTGGCAGAAACATTTTTATTGTCAAAGACATTTCCCCACCATTATCTTGCTCAGTTTTTATTCTTCAGCTGACAGAAATGCATAATCCCCAAACATCTTTGTAAGAAGGAGGACATTTTTTTCCCCTCAGGTTTCCTAGCTGAGTGTTGCTCAAATGAAGATTTGTTATAGTACAACTAAATCTGGAAATATTTCCATGTTTCCATTTGCTTATCAGAAAAAAAAAAAAAAAAAAAAAAAAAGAAAGGATCTCCAGATGGTGTAGAGATTCATGGTTGCTTCTGTTCAGAAGTCCTCTTCACAGTGACAGGGTGAGCCCTGGAGAGGACTCTTCCGTGAGCCATGGCTCATTTCTTACTCTAAACCTGCCTTGAAGCCAGTGCTTGAGAAACAGTTTGAGATCTGTCCATCCTCGGACATGTTCAGAAGCCATCTGGATAGGGACATGGGCAACATGCTCTAGGTGGCCCTGCTTGAGCAGGATGGCTGGTCTAGATCTCCTGAGATCTTCCAGCCTCAACCATTCTGTGATTCTGTCCCACAGTGCCAGTGTGCAGCAAGCAGAGCAGACCAAGGCAGAACAGTGGGGCAAGCTGAGACCAGTGATGTGGCAGGTCCAAGGCTGGGCTAGGACATCGAGCCAGTGGGTCAGTACACGCTGATATGAGAATATGAGACTGGGCACAGGAGTACTGGCAGCATTGCTCAGGCAAAGACCTGAGCAACTGTAGCTCAGAAGCTGGGAGAGATCTGCAGGGACAGTGGACACGTGGCACCATCTCCACGTTGCCCTGAGCCTGAGGAGCCAAACCCCCAGGAGGTGGGAACATGCTCAGGGCCCTAGCATCGGTACACTCGTCCTTTAAAGTTGCTGACAGGTGTTTGCAGTCCTAAACCCCAGAAGAGCCCCTCCAGCACAGTAAGTGATTCAGGTATCTGTGCTCCTGCACCGCAGCAATCAATATGAACAACATCAACTTTCATTGCTGGTTCTTTGGCAAGATTTCATCTAACCGTAACCCCAGGCAGGTGGGGGAAAAATGGCATTCATTAAATATTAA